ACAAAGCTGTCTGCCTGTTAATGACGGACCCCTCACTCTCCCCAGTACCTCCCGATATGGCGAGGAGTTCGGTTACTAAGTTCAGTAACGCCTTAATCTTCAAATACGAAAATAATACCAAGAATAATAATTAGAACCTACATTCTTGTTTACGATTGACGAGCATGTCAAGTCGATGCTCTCTTAACAGACAATTAAAACAACAATATTACTCTCACACAACTCCACAGAGGGGAACACGGTTTAAACTCTAGATATCGTGGGTGAAATGAGATTGGTACACTAACACAAGTCCGCACCCAAGGACCCTGCTTGGGTACGATATGTCCAGGGTAAAAACAAAGTGATACACAGAGTCGAGTCCATACCCGGGGCATCCCCTGAGTTTGCTTTATCCAGGGATACATTACACGGATGGGATGATACAGCTCCACCATGAGGAACACGACTTTCGTGGGAGATATATCAAGCGAAAAAATCACGCATATACATAAGCACAACTACCTACAGGAAGATCCAGCCTACGGATTCAGAATATTGGGACTACACTGTAAGTTGTACATTCTTATTGTACGTGTACCTGCTCGTCAGAATGAACTCCAACGTTATTGCTTAGTTTGCAGTTCAGTAACTCCATAGCTTTACGCTTCACTGTTCCATTGCTGCTATGAAGAAGTTTTTCAATGACATCGAAAAATACCGAGGCAGGTAAAAGGAGATTTACCTTGAGGAAAGAGAACAGGATATTTAATCATATTCTGAGTCATGGTTCTTTTAAAGGAGAGCAGACAGTTTTTCGTATTTCATTACCTTGTCTATAATTTCATAAGTTTTATGCAGAAAAGCTTTCCAAAACTTTCCAGTCACATCAGTAGCTGCCTGATCACCATGTTGCGCCGTTTTAGTCATGAAGTTTAATGTATCCTGTAACAGTCTGCAGAAACAAAAAATAAAACAAGAAAAATAAATATACTTCGAAATTTAGTCACTTTTACAGTTGTTTCAACAGTGTGGCAAGTTTCCCCACTGACTATAGTGAAGATGTCACAAAAGGAATTTCTTTTTTTAATCGACACTGACCTTAAAACTCATTTTATACAAGGAAAGAGCTATCTGTTTAGAGAATATAATGTCCACAGTGAAACAAGGACACATAAAAAAAGTTTACCTTAGAAAGAGAAAATCCAACATTTCTTCCTCAACATGGACCTGTACTCCGTCAAATGAAATGTAAACAAAGGAAATAAAACACTGTTTTTGCTGACAGAAACAAAAGTGAGAAATTTTACCGCAGTTGTAATTTGCAATTGTAATCGAAAATGTTTTTGGATTTGTGCGCTTTAAAACAGTTTAACTTATATGATAGATCGTTTGAATTCGGGGGTAACAGTTGACAGTATTGTCTAATGGTCAAGGTGGGTGTGGAAAAGAACTGTTGTCAGTGGTTATTTACCTTGTTTACAAACTCGTCACTGTCGAGCAAGGAAGAAATAACACTGATTGATGTGTATTTGAATTGCCTGAGGTGTTTCGCTGAGTGAGTGTCCACATCAAACAGAGGCGTAACAGCGAGGAATACACGGGCACTTCTTCTAGCCATCCTGGGCTTTTGACGAACTGTGGAGGAAATATCGAGAAGAAAAGAAATTTTTAAAGGAAAATCTTTTGATGACTAATTATCACATCGACGAGTTCACTGATTACTTATAGGAAAAGCGTCTTTACACACACAACGAAAGGAAGAACGATCGAAAGAACGAACAAACGAACGAACGAACGAACGAACAAACTAAGGAAAGAACGAACAAACTAACGAACGTACGAACAAACTAAGGGAAGAACGAACAAACTAACGAACGCACGAACAAACTAAGGGAAGAACGAACAAACTAACGAACGTACGAACAAACTAACGAACGTACGAACAAACTAAGGGAAGAACGAACAAACTAACGAACGGACAGACTGACGAACGAACAAACGAAATGACGAACAGACGAAGGTCCAAAGTGAGGAATGGACAACAAAGAAACTCAAACAAGGAATAATAAACAAACGAACCAATGTACGTTCAGGAGCCATCAAGTGTCAGAAAGGACTCAACTCGTGTGATTTTTTTTCTCAAGAGGAAAACTCCTTCAAACACGGGGAATACACATTTCATCATTCACTAAGATGGCACCTGATTTAAACACTTTCATGTCCTGGTACAAACGAACATAACTAAGTTAACATTATAATCATTTGGTAGTATACCTTCAGGTTTTGCCAACGGCAACTGATCAATGAACTGCAGGAGTTTCAGCATGGCCTCTACCTACAAACAATAATGTTCTAGCATCACGTCAAGACTAATGAACACTTTTTTGTTTCTACTTTCAACAGTGAATAAACAGCTTAAAAAAAAAATAACAAAAAAGAAAAAAAAAACGATACAATTTTTCCGCTTCTCAATTTTTTCCACCAAATACTGACAAAACACGTTAATTACGACCAGAACCTCCCAGATACGTTGTCATTTCCAGATTTTGTTATACCTCGGGTCAATTCTTTAACAGACAAGGTTTCACGCTTCTTCACGCTGCTCATATTACAAGATATCTTTTTTTAACGCGGTGGTTTTGTATGATACCTTAGTCCTGATTCACACTCGTATAACTAATTTCAACACCGCACGTCTTAAAACTTACTGTACCTGAACATTAACGTGGAAGCAATGGCAGAGACTGAGACAAAAGTCTGCTCCAAGAGGCTTTTTGGCAACAGAGGTCTGAAACACAAGAAATAAATCATGTCAGAGATACCTACTTTTACGTATATTTTAAACTATTCTTTACTTTTCCCCTTTGTCTACAGAAATAATATTTAGAGCAATAGCATTAATGTCAGTATCTGGGCAACGGCGCACCTACCCCTCCCCTAACTCAACATTACCCTAACTTGTTCTCGGTTGACTGTTGTTGGGTTAGGGGAGGAGTAGGTG